AACTTTCGTGAGACATTCTAAATTATTTATTATGTTTTCGGCTTACTCACGTAATAATTTGACGAGATACTCGACTAGTTTCAGCGACAGTAGCAGCGCGACGGTCGCCGAGTCGCGTGTCGCGGAATGCTGCTCATCTAGCATGGCTTGAAACTAGTCGAGTATCTCGTCAAATTATTACGTGAGTAAGCCGAAAACATAATAAATAATTCACAACATAAGTGTTGCTTCACGCCTGTTTTCTGTGAGACCGTGGCATCACTCCGGTCGAGCCGACCCATTCGTGCCGAAACATGGCTCTCCCACACTTTATGGAAATAAATCGACAAACGAGCAGGCGGATCACCTGATGGTAAGCAGTTGACGACGCCTATGGACACTTCAGAGAAGCTACGAGTGGCATTGCCAGTGCTCAGGAGTTAGGGATTGAGGATGGGGCTATGTTAGGCCTTCGATAACCTCAATCACACTGCAAAGCATCTTGGCGAGTCTGAAGTTAGCCGTTTGTCTGCGCAATTGATCTTTTAGGAACAAAATTGTGTACTGCGCAGCTAATCGGCTAACTTCAGACTCGCCAAGATACGTTGGCGGTATTGTAAGTCTCCGTACTGAACCAATCTCTATTTTCAAATAAAAAAAATTCGGTATCCCATTTACAAAGTTCAGTTTTGAACTACCCACCAATGATAACTTAAGTTTATTTTTTATTTCTTTATAAACAATACTGATTTAGGAAATAGAGAGTAAGCTTATAATTAATGTAAGAATTATAATTAGAACTTAATAAAAATAAATGCCGATACAAAGACTTTTAATTTTTATAATACTGCTGATTATTTTTATGCTGTTTTTTTTGGAATTATTTTATTGTTTTTTGAGATTTTTCTTCTCATTTTCTTACATATGAATATTATAATTTATAAATATGAAAGCTTGTGAGAATTGATGGTATGTTTGTTATTCTTTCGACCAAGAACGTCTGGACCGATTTTGTTGAAATTTAGGTACCCTGGATTAACACAGGCTGTTTTTTTATCAATACTACCACGCCGGGTGGACAGGCTAGTCTGAATTTAAGCAGGTATGGGCATGTTTGCTCCAGAACATAATTTTCTCCAGGGGCCAGAGTCTACTATTTTCAAAGTGTTGTCATTCCGATTTCCGATTCCATTGTCATTTTGCTAAAAGTTCGTAATCTGTTAATTCAAAATGGCTGATCATTGGCGTTCGGTGTTGTAATAGAATTATAGTACGAGATGTCTTGTAACGAATTATAAACAATAACTGCACATTAATATTCTAAATGTAAATGATTGAAATAAGGAACTGACATTTTTTTATTAATTTACCGCATGATGTCAAATATTAATTTGTCATTATGTACGAGATTACCGTTCTAAAGAATTATTTCAATGAAGTGGCATTGGAAAGTAATAATGACGCTATCGTGTTAGTAGATTACCAAACTTGTCAAAATCAAAAATTTTGAAACCAATGATCTACTATTCTGACACTATTGTAATAGTAGACTCGAGGCCCTGTACTACTGTTATTAATAGATAGAATGATTGAAGAGGAAGGTTTATATGTATAATAACATCCGTTAAATAGTGGAGACATTTAGTATCAGCATTGCAGCCGTGCGAGTTCGGGGCGGATAGCGGGGTAAAATAAACAGACCAAAATCTCAAAAATACAATAAAATAATCAAAATCATATCCAATTATTAATTAATCAATCAAATATCTAAATTTTAACCAACATCCATACAAACTTACATACATACATAAAATTTACAATTAGAGAAATAATCGTACTTCGATTGACTGACTACTTTACCGCTTGAGTTTCGGAGATTTGGGGGAGGGGCAAGAAAGATAGAGCCTCAGGGAACCTCACTCACACGGCGAAATACAACGTTCTGGTTATTTCACGCCGGTTTTCTGTGAGACCGTGGTATAGCTCCGGTCAAGCCGACCCATTCGTGCCGAAGCATGGCTCTCCCACACAGTTTAAATTCGTTTCTAAAGATGGGGCCCCGATATAGGCATTTGTAAGGGGCACGTGATTGAGTTAATAAGTATCTAGTCAAGGTACAGTATGTTTCAAAATAAACGGTGAAGTAACGAGTTCTCAATCCAAATCTTGGATTCTTTTTATCTAGTCATTGATATCCTCCTAAACGGCTTGACCGATTTAAATGATTTTTTCTGTTTGCGTATGAGTGGCGCCCTGGATGGTTTAGATTCACAAATCATCCCGGCAGATGGCGCTGATTGCTTGAAAAAGCATGATATCTCGAAAACTAAGTAACGATTTCGCAAAAAATTAATATATGTGTAAACAATTTTTTTTTAAATAAGTATTTCTCTTATTGGACGTTCCGAACTCGCGATAAAGTGGCATCGGTCAAACAATATGAATTACAAAATACACAAGCGATTATAACCTTTATCGAACTTAGAATTATATGTTTTGTAACTGCATGATTCTATTAGGGAATAAGGATCAAAATCGTTTGTATAAATTGTGAGTTCGTTTTTATAACAACGACATTTGGAAATCCTTTTATAGTTGAAGAATGGTAGTTCCGCAGCTAAAAAAAGAGAATTTTTATATTATAAATAAATATTAAAAAGTATGTATATTTTTATTATAACCTTTTGAGACATACTAAATTAATTATTATGTTTTCGGCTTACTCACGTAATTGTTTTGACGAGATACTCGATTAGTTTCAAGCCAGTAGCAGCGCGAAACGCCGCATGGCGTTTCGCGGAATACTGCTCATGAATATGGGCCTCTAGCATGGCTTGGGAGCTAACCATGACGTGTGGGTAAGAGAGAGAGACAGAGCTAGACAACTTGTATAGCTCTCTCTCTTACCCACACTGATCTTACTTTAAATGCCATGGTTAGTCCCTTGAAACTATGCTCGGAATTTTAATTCGATTCCAGATTTGACAATTTCAGTGTTGCAACGTTATGACATGAACTAAATAGTGTCGTTGCGAAATTATTCGATATGGAAATCGATTATTTACGCATCGATTCCTCTCGTTTATAATTTTATTCTCGTAAACATAGTATATCAGGAAACTAAATATTTCTGAACCGATAATTTAGTTTTGACGATTAATTAACGATCTGAGACATTTCTTTTATAACTGTGAGTGAAATTAAAAAAATGTGACAAATAAAACAGATTAATCTGTTTTATTTTATAAGACTAATCTGTTAAGAAGTGTTTATTCGACATTCTGCTAGTCTAAGTTCACTTTACTTTCAAAAACTCAGAGTAAAGCGAAAAACCAAAGCGATTGTTTATCGATTTTTGTGTTCATCACTACACCATTATAATGTGGTATCATTATTTCACAAAATGACAGTATTTAATGTCAAATGTGGAATCGAATTAAAATTTAGCCTATAGTCGAGTTCGTCGTCAAAATAATTACCTGAGTAAGCCGGAAACCTAAGTACGTATATTTTAAATATTACAGTCAATTCGCTAATTTAGCCCGTTCAGCGAGCGAGACAGTACGAGGCGGAATTATACCGATGACGTTTTTCATTTGTGGATTGTTTAAAAAAAAAACACATTGATAGACTTACACCCGGTTTCTGAAAGGCTTGTCAACGCTAAAATTAACTAATCTGTTAAATCTCTTGTCAAGTCATCTGATTGGTTGTTGATAATTCAGTCAACCAATCAGATGACTTGACAAGAGATTAAATTGATTTTAACATTGATCGGCCTTTCGGAAACCGAGGCTCAGTCCTAAGTAAGCATTCCAAACTACGTAATACATATATAAATTTTGGATCACGCTTAACATAAAAATATAAACCTAACTTAAACTATATCCTTAAAATAAACGAGAAAAATGTCAAAAACGATTTCGAATAAGAACCTAAAACTACTTAGTAAATAAAACTAAAAAATCTTAAAAAATAAATTAAAAACTAACAAAAAAAATTCAGGATGTGACTATTAAAAAAATCGTATCATGTATATAATATAAAATAAAAATAAAAAAGCTAAAAATAAAAAACCGAAAATAAACTAAAAAATAATAATTACTTAATAATACTATTTTTTCCAATTCTTTTTTTTTACTTATTTTGTTCCGTAGTTTCAGTTCATCTTCCGAATAATAATAATTAAGAAGAATATTAAAAAGAAATTCAAAAGTCAATCATGTACCTAGGGGAAGAAAAAAAAGAAAAAAATTAAAAAAGAAAAAAAAAATTTTAAATAACACAGTTATTAATATTATTTGAGTTAGAAAACCTCTAAATATTGATATTTCCTCAAAAAGAAAGGGAGGGAAAGGATTGGGCCTCCGGTAATCTCACTCACACGGCGAAACACAACGCTGTGGTTGTTTCACGCCGGTTTCCTGTGAGGCCGTGGTATCACTCCAGTCGAGCATAGCTCTCAAACACTCAAATAGTTCTATATATTTTTTGTATGTGATAAGTCAGCAAATGTGTAATTCACAATGACACCCGTAACAACGAAGGAGTTACGAGTGCGTTGCTAACTTTCTGGGGATTAGGGTTTTAGATATTTGAGATTGGGGGAGGGTAAGGGGTAGACACCCGCAATAACGGAGGAGTTACGAGTGCGTTGCTAACCTTCTGGGGATTAGGGTTTTGGAGATTTTGAGATTTCGGGGAGGTAAGGGGTAGACACCCGCAATAACGGAGGAGTTACGAGTGCGTCGCTAACTTTCTAGGGATAAGGGTTCTGGAGATTTTGAGATTGGGGGAGGGTAAGGGGTGGACACCCGCAATAACGGAGGAGTTACCAGTGCGTTGCTATGCTTCTGGGGATTAGGGTTTTGGAGATTTTGAGATTTGGGGGAGAGGAAGAATTGGAAACACAACGCTGTAATTCTACCTATCACAGATTTCTTGCATTATCATTTAGAAAAAGTTTCGAACTCAAATAAAATTAATAATCCCCAACTGCCAATAATCCCCGGTTCACTAACCTGCTTTGTACGCTGGGGGTGTTGCGATGCGAATCTGGGGAATGCGCGTACGCCGGCGACGAGGACATGTAAGGGGGTAGCGTCGTCACTAACACGGGTTTCACATACCCATTCTTCAGCATCTCATTTTCTGGATAAAAAAATATATTTTTAGTATTCATTTTCATGGGACCAGGCACTAGATCGCTCGATTCCCTATAATATGGTTGAGTTGGGCGATACTCAAAGTCAAAGTCAAAATCATTTATTCCAACTAAACCATAAACAGGTATGTTTGAAACGTCAAAATAGAATAGTAGTCTGTCAGTCTGTTCGTCAGTGAAGCTAGGTGCTCATTCCAAATTATAGATTCGAATGGAGAAGAACGAGCTAGAAACTCCAATCTTTACTCTTAAAAAAAAATGTTTTACAGCAGCTATTGGGACTAGTCAACTCGAGACTGTCTAAAGTAGCTGTCCTTGAGGTTAACTTTGCCTAAACATTAGTGTTACACTGTTCTCACATATCAAACCCGACTAATGATTTAAAAAAGAAAGGAATTAACAATTCATTTCTTTGAAAAAGAGTAACCATGGAGTTTGTTGCTCATTCTTCTCCATAGGAATCTACACTTTGGAACGAGCAAATAGCTTCACTAGAGGACCGACTGACACGCTTAAAGTTAACCCTCTTGAAATCTTATTTTCTTTTTTTACTTCGTTCAAAAGTGCCTAAATTTGAAATAAATGATTTTGACTTTTGACTTTTTGACCAGCATACCAGAACCACTCAAAAGCGCTGCAACTCCTGTACACCAGGATCTACAGTAGATACAACCATGAAAACACCGGAACACTGAAGTCCGGCGCGTCCCAGGGAAATGAATTCCGTCTTGGATCCCGCAACGAAATAAATCAGAAGATATTATTTGAAGATAAAAATAAAACGAGCTTTTTGAATATTTTTTCCTATAATAAGAGAATATATTATGTAAAACCACGCGATACCAAAGTGCCCCATGTTATTTACAAGACTATAATCTATCTCTGTGCCAAATTTAATTGAGTAAGTGCTCGAAAAACTGATAAAGTGAATGAATGAATTTGCTTCGGCATTTCTTTTTACAGTATTTAGATACGAAAATGAGGAAATGACGGCTTCATTTAGATTTTTTTGTAAATAATATACCTTACGTTGACGATTATTTCAAGAATGAATGAATGAATTTACACATTAACGATAGCGTGAACGACTGAATGTGTCAGCAAATAAGTGAACGAGTAAATTATTGAATGAAAAACGAGTGATTGGGTAAGAGAATGATTGATGAAGTGATCGAATGAAATAGTCACCAAATAAGTAAGTGTGAATTTAGGATTGATTGAATGAACGAATGAGCGAATACGTAAAAGATTTAAAAAAGATTAAGGGAACAGATGAGTCGCATAATAAATGACTGAATTAGTGATTGCTTTAAAGAACGAATGAATGAACGAGTGAGTGGGTGAATGTAATACATAAAAAATATATAAAAAACTTACCGGGTTTGGTGTAGTACTTGGAGAAAACGTCGTCCTTGGCAATGTTGGGGTAGAGGAACTGCAGCTGGGTGAGATCCAGTACCCGGTCAGCTAGGGACCGCAGCATCAGGTCGCGGGATGTGAACGGTTGAAGACTGAAGACCTCGTTGCCCTCTGTTGAGAGAACATTAGCATTAACATCAACCTATAAGTGCCCACTGCTGAGCAAAGGCCTCTTCTCACACGGAGAAGATTTAAGCATTGACTACCAAGCTCGTTTAAGGCGGATTTTATAATAATTTATAAGTTCAGGTTTCCTCACGATGTTTACCTTCACCGTATGTCAGTGGTGTCTAAATAATCATAGAAGGTACATATAACTCAGAAAAAGCCACATCGGTACTAGACAGGTTTCAAAACCGCGACAGTTTTCTAAGAAAAACGGAATAAGTCGAAACTGTGACCTCAATTAAAATTACCGAATGGTCTAAATGCGTATCCCATGTTGTCGAAAACGAGGAAAAAATGAGTAAGCTAGATATGTTAATTGACAATAAATATCACAGACACAATTCATAATAAATGTTACAGAAAGTAACAGCGATAGCGATAGCGATAACGGCGTCAATTTATAAAATAAATTATTACCATGATAGATCACATTTTTTTATTAATATCACACACAATTTATTATAAGAGAAAAGTATCAGATCGTTGATTAATTGTCATAACGAAATTATCGATTCAGAAATATTTAATTTCCTTATAAACTTAGTTTACGAGAGTAAATTTTTAAACGAGAGGAATCGATTCCGAATTATTCCCTTTCCATATCGAATAATTTCGCAACGTCACTATTTAGTACTCGTCATAACGTTGCAACACTGAAATTGTCAAATCTGAAATCTAAGTAAAATTCCGAGTATAATTATTGTAACACGAGAACTGTCAATGTCAGTGTCATCCTTTAGCATTAATAAAGTGGTCGAGTTAGTCTCGACCATTGACAATGTAACTCTGGTGCAGTGAGCTGCCCGACTGTGTACTGTGATATTAAAGTCAAAGTATTCAAGATCCAAGTCTTTTAATCATATACTAGCGGCAGGCCCCCGCTTCGCACGGGTCCAACTATCTCGCTATCAAAGGGTCACTTTTTCCTAATCTTCCCCTCTACTTTTCTAATATTTTCTTTGATAAGAACCTTCTCCTGACAATTAAAACAAACACAACAAAAAAAGAATTAGCAAAATTGATCCAGGCGTTGTTGAGTTATGCGCTTACCAACACATTTTGCGATCCATTTTTATATATAAGACTAGCTGCCCAACCCCGCTTCGCACGGATCTTACCATCCTAACAACAAAATGGGCAGTTTTTCCCAATTTTCCCCTCTACTTTTCTATCATTTTCTTTGATAAGAACCTTCTCCTGGCAATAACAGACACAACAAAAAAAGAATTAGCAAAATTGGTCCAGGCGTTGTTGAGTTATGCGCTTACCAACACATTTTCATTTTAATATATAAGACTAGCTGCCCAACCCCGCTTCGCACGGATCTTACCATCCTAACAACAAAATGGTCAGTTTTTCCCAATCTTCCCCTCTACTTTTCTAATATTTTCTTCGATATAAGAACCTTCTCCTGACAATTAAAACAAACACAACAAAAAAAGAATAAGCAAAATTGGTCCAGGCGTTGTTGAGTTATGCGCTTACCAACACATTTTGCGATCCATTTTTATATATTTAGATAGATATAGTACGGCCGTCATATCTTGTCGAGTCTGAAGTTAGCCGATTAGCTGCGCAGTACACAATTTTGTTCCTAAAAGATCCATTGCGCAGACAAACGGCTAACTTCAGACTCGCCAAGATACGGCGGCCGTATAGTAAATATATTATTACAGATAGATGACCACTTACCACCAACCCAGGCGATAGTTATGCCTCCCAGTTCGGAGTCGGAGAATCGAAGCAAGAAGGTTCCGGCGGGACACTTGGAAAGCATTTCTTCAGCTTGTTTCTTTTGAATGAAACCCATGATCAGACTGTTGGTAAAAAGAATACGTTAGGACCACATATGGACTCGTTAAAATCATCCATAAGTGCCCACTGCTGAGCAAAGGACTCTTTTTTTTATGGTATAAGTCGGCAAACGAGCAGACGGATTACCTGATGGTAAGCAATCAGCGCCGCCCATGGACACCCGCAACACCAAAGGAGTTACGAGTGCGTAGCCGTCCTTTTGGGGATAGGGGTTGCGGATATAAGGATCGGGAAGGGATAGAGGAAGGGACGGGATTGGGCCTCCGGTAACCTCACTCACACGGCGAAACACAACACTGTGGGTTGTTTCACGCCGGTTTTCTGTGAGGCCGTGGTATCACTCCGGTCGAGCCGACCCATTCGTGCCGAAGCTTGGCTCTCCCACACTTAAAACTCTTCTTACACAGAGAAGGTTTGAGTATTAACCACCACGCTTGCTCAACGCGGATTAGGGATTTATAACTAATAATTAGAAATTATTAATCTAGGTTCAACTCACGATGTCTAAATAATCATTGAAAGTACATGTATGTAACTCGGAAAAGTCACATTGATACTTACCAGGATTCGGACCCGCACAAAGCAAGACAATTCCATTCCTCCCTCCTAATTCCTCAAATCCCTAATCCCCCCCGCCCTCCAGAGACATCGCTCTTGCAACTCATTTAGTTTTGCGACTGTCTAAGAGCAGCTCAATTTGCTTACCATCAGATGATCTTTTATAAAATATTATAAAGAGGTAAAATTTGTATGTTAGAAAATTTGTAAGTTTGTATGTAGGGGATAATCTTTGGAACCGCTGGTCGGATTGTCATAATTCTTTCACTGATAGATAGCTACAATGTTCCTGAGTGCTGTAGGCTATAAAACATCACGCTACGATTAAATGGATCCGAGCACCGCGAGAGTAGCTAGTAGTTATATAAACACATACAAGTTTTAGTGCTAACATATAATATAAATGTTATTCTTGTGTATTGGGCCTCTAGTAAACTAACTCACCACACAACGCTGTGGTTGTTTCACGCCGGTTTTCTGCGAGGCCGTGGTATCACTCCGGGCGAGCCAACCCATGGCAATCTCTATAAACTAACGTATTAAAAACTTACTGATCACACCACAGCGTCCTGAGATAATCCCTTGTGACCTTGACGACCATGTAGAACCACTCCCAGAAGGTGAAGTTCCTCTCAGGCAGGGCGTCCTTGCAGAACTGGGTCCAGGATACTGGCATGGCGTTCAGCTCCATCGTGTTTAGAGGGAGACTCGTCCTGGGGACGGCGCATATACTTTATGTTACATATAGCATAGTGCTCAACATGGATATCGGACTTTGTATGGCGTATAAGTTCTGAAAGAGGGGCATGAAAGTTGTAAAAGAGAAAGGAAAAGTTGTAAATTGGGGCGTATAAGTTGTAGATGGGGCGTAAAAGTTGTAGGATGGGGGCGAAAGTTGTAGATTGGGACCAAAAGTCAGTCAGAGCCAAAAATATTGAAAATAGGGAGCGCAAAAATCGTACAAGGAGACGCAAAAATTGTACACGGTGGCGCAAAAGATGAGAATGGGGGTGCAAAAGTTGTAGATGGGGGCGCAGAAGTTACAGTCAGGGACGCAAATATTGAAGAAGGCAGCGCAAAAATTGTACAATGAGACGCAAAAGTTGTAGATGGGGTCACAAAAGATGCAGATTTGGGACAAATGTCAGTCAGAGGCAGAAAGATTGAAGGAAGTGCAAAAATTAGGATCACAAAAGTTGCAGATTGGGGGTAGAAGTTACAGTAAGGGGCGCAAAAGTTATAGATGGGAGCGTAAAAGTTGCAGATAGGGAGCAAAAGTCGGTCAGAGGCGAAAATATTCTGGAACGGAGCGAAAATATTGTACAAGGAGACGCAAAAGTTATAGATGGGGTCGCCAAAGTTGCATATTAGGAACGTAAGTTACAGTTAGTTGCGCAAATATTGAAGAAAAGGTTGTACAAGGCAGCGCAAAAGGTAACGAAGGTGGCGTAAAAATTGCAGAAGTGGGCGCAAATGCCATAGAAGAGGTCGCGGAAGTGAGCGCAAGTCGCTAAAGGAAGCGCAAGTGTATTAGGCGCAAAAGTCACTGATGTAGGCACAAATGTCGCAGAAAGGGCGCAAAATTTAATGCATTAAGGGCAAATTTTTGAATGGTTAGATAAAAGTTACCTGGGGAATAATTATGATGCTGTCGCGTCAGAATGTTTGTATAAGACAGTGACAGCAACAATTTTATTCCTCAGATATCATTTATCTGACTGTTGAAAAATCAGACCTAAGTTAATGTAAAAGACTTAACACACCAATTAGGTAGTTTCCAAGGTCAAAAATAAATTAATTCGGCGTTTCAATACAATAAAATTGTATGTTCGTAAACCCACCTACGACACAGGAGAACATCCTAATGTGGGGCAACGTTTAAATAAATAAAAAATAATAAAAAAAACTCAGTTTTTCCTACAAATGTCATAGAAAAAGTATCGTTTTCAACATTTGGATAAAAGTATTGAATTTGACTAGTTGAAAACTACCGCAAATTATGAATAACCTTGAAAAACAAAAAAGTGCTATCGTAAAAGTTAGGGTTAGCCAATTTTAGTGATGAACAGACAAGAAGACAGACACATAACACTATTAAACCTCCAGAAATCTTTACAAACCAACACAGAACGAGCGAAAAACAACTACAAAAACTACTTTAATGACAAAAAAATCCCTTAAAATTACGCTTTATACTAAGTTTACCTAAATATCTTTTCGGCGAGGAATCTCAGGTTGTCCTCCGAAAGATCTCCGCCGGTCGCGGAGCAGAATTTGATGCGAAGAGTTTCTGCTAGTTGACCCCACGTCACCTAAAAAGAAAAGAGAGAATAAACTATAAGAATGGATCCATAAGATATCTTTTACATCATTATCATCATCTATACTAATATTATAAAGAGGTAAAATTTGTAAGTTTGTATGTAGGGGGTAATCTCTGGAACCGCTGGTCGGATTGCCAAAATTCTTTCACTGATAGATAGCTACAATGTTCCTGAGTGCTATAGGCTATAAAACATCATGCTACGATCAAATGGAGCCGAGCAGCGGGTGAAACGGCGCGAGAGTAGCTAGTCAAAAGTAAAAAAAAGTATCAATAACGACAATGCACTCGTAATTTCCCTGTTGTTGCCGGACAGAAAACCGGTGTAAAAACGTGTAACAGCGTTGTGTTTCGCCGTGTGAGTCAGGTTACCGGAGGCCCAATCCTTCCCCTCTCCCCAATCCCAAAATCTACGAAACTCTCAAGGCCGGGAAAGCATTCGCCACTCTTCTGGAGTTGCGGATGTCTATAGGCGGCGCCGATTGCTTACCATCAGGAATTGATTCATCTAATAAAAAAAAAGAAAATAACTATTTTATTTTTTTAAGTTTTCTCAACTCTACTATTCCTTTAAACATCGTAATTCTGTAAGACGTCGTTTTTTTTTAATTTCGAAATCATACCAGCTACCTAATTATACGTACTAATGAAAAATAAAAATCTAATACAATGCCTTTAACATTTACCTAAATTTCGGACGAGCCCGAACATATTCGGAGTGAACCGGAGCCGTTTACCATTTTCGAGCTCGCCCGAAAGAAGGCGTTAACATTGAAAAAGGAACGAATAATACGATTTATAGTAATATGGAGATACGAAAATAAAAAAACCGGTTTATTATACATATAAATATGTTGGTCTTCGCCCTAATGGCTCACGGCTACGACTCACCCGGATAAGATGGACCGGCCGCGTCTGCTCCGGTAAAATCGAAACAACAGAATTTTGTAATATCATAGAAAATTATAATCACTCCGATCGTTTTGTCAGCCATATAAATTTGAGTTGAGAATATGGCAATGTAATTTCACTATAATTTAATTCTTAGTGTTGGTAACCCTGTTACTACAAGTGTCGAAAAATAACTATCACGGTGTAATAACATTTTCAAGTATTAAAACAGTTATTTACATTTTTTATTATATACATTATACACTACTAAAAATTATCACGCCCAATCCCCAATCCTTTTACCCCTCCCCAAATCTCTTTAATCTCCGGAACCGTAATCCCCAAAAGTGTGATAGGTCGGCAAACGAGCTCATAGACTACCTGATACTGTACTAGTTTCAAGTCACAACGGGACTCTTATTTATGAGCGTCGTGCGCAACGCGGCGACGTCGCGCAGCCGACTGAAAGTATTTCATCAATCGTTGGCTGCACGACGTCGCCGCGACGCTGTTTACTAGAAGAGCCTTTCTCGTGAGTCGTTATCTATACATACTAATATTATAAAGAAGTAAAATTTGTAAGTTTGTATGTAGGGGGTAATCTTTGGAACCGCTGGTCGGATTGCCAAAATTCTTTTACTGATAGATAGCTACAATGTTCCTGAGTGCTATAGGCTATAAAACATCACGCTACGATTAAATAGAGCCGGGCTGTGGCTGAAACCGCGCGAGAGTCGCTCGTAGTTTTTAATAAATTTTGATAAACGACATTATATGATGAACGATACTATGCAAAAACTTTATTTTATGACGACATCCTCCTAATCTTAGCAAATATAGCGTAAAAAGAATTATAGGAATCAGTCTAGCCACTTACGATGCCACGACCAAGGGAAATTGGCATTAATCACTGCATCACTATATAGTATAAAAAACGAAGTCGCTTTCTCTGTCCCTATATCTACATATACCTACGTATTTTTAAATCTTTAAATCTACGCAACGGCTTTTGATGAGGTTAATAAAACGAAAACTTTAAATATTTATAACTAAGAAAACAATTAAATGAAGTCAAAACTTTTAAACTTTCGAGTTCCATGTTAACAGCATATAATTACGCGGGTATTAACGCGAAAAGTAATTATTTAAATACGTTGGTAGGCTTGACGTTACGACTTGGTTACACAGGTCGTGGTCACAAGAAGAGTGACCTTCGACGATATGCAAATAATAACTTTAGCGAATAATATATATATGTTGTGAGAATGTACATATTTTATGTACAAGACCATTAAACACACTATTGAACAGAATAATAAAATATACTAAGTAAAAAAGGTGTGTATGTCATTTAGAGAGAGAAAGAGAGAGAGATAGAGAGAGAGAGAGAGAGAGAGAGAGGGGGGGGGGGACTTTTGAATAAAGTAATATAGTATATAAGCGTCTATTTGAGTGTGTGTGTGAGAGAGAAGAGTTTTGAACAAAAAATATAATATTAGAATGTCTGACAAAAGTTATAATAAAAAAATATTTTATAAAAGCATGTGTTTGTGTGCGGTGTGTGTGTGTGTGTGTGTGAAAGAGAGAGAGATACAGAAGTCTACGACGATAAGTACCTCCAGTGTTAAAAGCTTAAGAAAAATCAATAATACTTGCCTTATCCGGTACAGCGAAAGGAACGCGTCCTGGTGGGCTGAAAGCGTTATCCCAGGTGACAGTAGCCCAGCCGTGCGGCTCCTGGTTTCCGTGGACGATCACCACCACTGGCAAAGATAGCGTCCAGACCTGGGGATTAAGTTGTGATTAGTGATTGAAGATATTGTAGTTGGTAAGTAGACTAAATGGAGCGACTAGATAATATTAACATTTTATCGTCATAATCAGTCTATAAGAGCCAACTGCTGAGCAAAGGCCTCTTCTCACTCGGAGATGGTTTGATCATTAATCCCCACGCTTGCTCAACTTTGCTGCTGTGCAATGCGAGTTCGATTCCCGCACGAAACAACGCTTTGAGTGATCCACAAATTGTTGTTCCGGGTCAGGGTATGATGTGTATGTGGAATTGTATGTTTGTAAACGCACCTACGACACAGGAGAAAATCGTAGAGTGGGGCTACATATTAAAAAAAATAGCATTGGCGATTTCAAACCTAAATTTAGAAAATAATTAGAATCAGGATTGGACCTCCAGTAGCCAGACTCACGTGGCGAAATACAACTGTAGTGGTTGTTTCACGCCGGTTTTCTGTGAGGCCGTGGTATGACTCCGGTCGAGCTATGAAGAATGGATACTTACTTGGAACACCAGCTCTCCTCCACCAACATTGAACTGAGATTGGAACAGCAAAGTCAGTTTCTCATCCATCACACTCTCCGTACCCTTCTTCTCAGCACGCTTGATTTTACGGAGTTGCATGTTGCTGGGGATTGTTAAAAGAGATTTCTTTATTAATCACCATTACAAAAAATCACTTCAATGTTGAATTTAATGATACATATAACTAAAATAAACATTATAAAACACGTATACGCCGAAAATTACTAATCACCATAATCACCAATACAAAAAATCCTACCAGTAGTTGAATTTGAATTTATCGATATTTATCAAGAAAATAGACACCAAAAAACACGTATTAGACAAAAATCACTAACCCCTTTAACCACCACTACAAAAAATCCAACCATAAATTAATGTTAACGATATACATCACTAAAATAAACATTATACAACACGTTTTAGACAAAAAATCACTAATCACCACCTAACAAATAATCACCGCTACAAAAAATCTTACCGGAAACTGACGCTAAGCTGCCTGCTGGTTGGCTGGTACTCCATACTTCCGGTATTGTTCAATATATCACCGCATTCGACCGGCTGCTTGCCTTTACCGGCTTGGGTCTCGCTTTTCAGAAGCAGTTGAGCTTGTTGTTCGGATATGATAACGACCTAAAGTCGAAAGATTTATTAAGGCGATTAATGTTTTACTCTACGAAGGAACGGTGACAATTACATGAAAATTTGTTAAGCTGTTTTCGAGATATGTTCTTTTGAAAACTAGGCAAAATTAAAATCATTAAGAAAAGACTATGTCCCAATTGGCCCTCTGCAATAAAGAGTATCTGAATACACGATAATTAATTGTCTATTTTAATATATAAGCTGCCAATATTATTTGAGCATGGACAAGCAGTATTCCAGAATGTACAATCAGGGGTCAAAAATACAATTACACTCTACCTACCAATTTTAAAATGACTAAAAGTTTTTTGTAGTAAAAGTTCAATGGTTCACAGCCAGTTTATTCAATAATTTAGATTCTATGCTATAAATTAAAGCAGTCCTCAACCATTGACTCTATTCTACAAAGATATTTTGGTCATTTTAAAATTGGTAGAGTGCAATTGTATTTTCGACCCCTGACTGTACATTAATTAGTATGTTATGAAACAATGAAACAATGAAACAATGAATTTATTTTTGCAAATAGGCCATAAAACGGCACTTTTACACGTCAATTTATATGTGAAAAACTAGATTAAGCCGGATGCGACTAATAAAGTTAGAAGTCGCCATCTTCGCTGGCAACTGATATCTATGGTTGGTTTGATAGATAGGTACTGTTTACAAACGTGCACGGTCTATATTAATCACATTCTAAAACAAATGCTTAAAGTTGTGTAGTTTCCTAGTTCAAAAATAAATTAATTCGACATTTCAATACAATAAAATATTGAAAAATAACTATACTTTTATTCAACGATCGATCGATACACTTACCTTCGGTTTCCGAAAGGCTGATCAATGTTAAAATCAATTTAATCTCTTGTCTAGTCATCTGATTGGTTGACTGAATTATCAACAACCAATCAGATGACTTGACAAGAATTAGTTAATTTTAGCGTTGACAAGCCTTTCAGTTTTAGAAGGGTTTAAGTTTTAGATTTTATTTAGCTAATTATTATGAAATAAGTAAGCTATTTGACGCAAAAATGTTATGACGATATAGCTCAGTTTAACATACAAATTTCATAGAAAAGTATCGTTTTTGACGTTTGGATAGTAAGTATTAAATTTGACTTGTTGGAAACTACCGTATTCAGGCGTCAATGTTAGTTGGTTTCAATGAATTTGAATTTTGCACTAACATCCATTTTGACGTGTGAAATAAAACTGTAAAGGTACCTAATGTCCCTACATCCCTATGTATGCTTCATCATCATCAGCCTATTAGTGACCACTGCTGAGCAAAGGCCTCTTCTCACACTGAGAAGGTTTGAACATTAATCACCACGCTTGCTCAATGCCGGTTGGCGATTTCAAACTTACAATTAGAAATTTTAAGTCCAGATTTCCTCACGATGTTTACCTTCACCGTATGTCAGTGGTGTCTAAATAATCATAGAAAGTACATATAACTCGGAAAACGTCACATTGGCTTATCAGGTTTTGAACCCACACCTTCATGCATGAGAAGCGGGCTCCTTAACCTCCGGGCCACCACGATATGTTGCTATGTATGCTTTTTTCGTGAGGGGAAAATCATCAACTGAATTCTTCCGCCCAGGGCCGGGCGGGAGGGAGTGTCAGACTCTTACTGACTAAAAACCCCCCTCAGTTCCTTCTCCTGCTCTCGGCCGAGGTCGCGGTGCCTCATTGCGCTTACCCCGCAACCCCGGATGTATGCTTAAATCTTTAAATTCACAAAAAATTCCATCTGCTCGTTTACCGCATACCATATATAAAATACTCACGCTGACTCGAGGCGGCGTCATGTATACGTTTAGCTGACCCCCGACCAGTAAACGGACAGTAGCCGTGAAGCTGTGAACAATATACCAAATATAATAGTCATTATAGTCGAATAGAAAATTGAAATTGTAACATAGTATAAAACAAAGTCGCTTTCTCTGTCCCTATATCCCTATGTACGCTTAAATCTTTAAAACTACGCAACGGATTTTGATGCGGTTGCTTTTAATAGATAGAGTGATTGAAGAGGAAGGTTTATATGTATAATGACATCTATTAAATAGTGGAGATATTTAGTATCAGCATAGCATTTATATAATGTAATGTAAATTAATCTAAAAGTATTGCTTTATGGCCTACTAGCTTTTGCCCGCGACTTTATTCGCGTGGAATAGTAACTTCCTGCAGATTTTTGGTTTAAAAACTACCCTATGTCCTTTCTCGAGTTCCAAACTATGTCTGTACCAAATTTCACACAAATCGGTTCAGTAGGTAAGGCGTGAAGAAAAGACAGACAGACAGAGTTACTTTCGCATTTATAATACTAGCTTTTGCCCGCGACTTTATTCGCGTGGAATAGTGACTTCCTGCAAAATTGTGGTTTAATGTCCTTTCTCGAGTTCCAAACTATGTCTGTACCAAATTTCAAACAAATAGGCTAAGTAGTTTAGGCGTGAAGAAAAGACAGACAGACAGAGTTACTTTCGCATTTATTTTATAATATTAGTTTGGACTAGTGGACTTGTTGGGTGAACTTGTAATCGGTATGATAGTAAGGGAGGAGTATTTTGAGTCGATTTTTTTTTTAAGTTTTTTTAAAAAACTTACCGAGTATTGGTCTTCATGACCTGAGGTGGTTGTTTCTCGATCACGAACGTCGACGTCACTAAAGTGGACAATAGACCAGTCACCTGAAAGACAAACATTTTTTTATTAATGTTATGTAGGTCATATAGAATACCAGCGCTGCGGTATTTTTACATAGGTACTGGTGAGATAATGGCTTTTTTGACCTCGCACAGGTCTTTTATTTTATTTTTTAATATCTTTTGTTGTTGTTTTGTTTTGAACAACATTATATTTACGCGGGTATTAACGCGGAAAATTATAATTTGAATACCTTGGTAGGCTCGACGTTTCGACCCGGTTGCACAGGTCGTGGTCACAAGCAGACTGAATACCCGCGTAAATATAATGTTGTTAAGATGAAACGCGAAAGTTTAAAAGTTGTTTTGTTTGTTTTTTCTTTTCGTATATATAAAATGTAATTGTATTTATTTTCTGTGCGAGTCTCAAATAAATGTTTTTTCTTTCTTTCTTGCTAATATAACAAAAGTGTGGGAGAGCCATGCTTCGGCACGAATGGGCCGGAGTGATACCACGGCCTCACAGAAAACCGGCGTGAGACAACCACAGCGTTGTGTTTCGCCGTGTGAGTGAGGTTACCGGAGACCCAATCTTACCCCTTTTTTGTGAGGGTAAAATTATCAAATGACTTCTCCCACCCAGGGTCGGGCAGGAGGGATTTTCAGACTCTTACTGGCTAAAAAACCCCGTTCCTTCTCCTGCTCTGGGACGAGGTCGCGGTGCCTCATTGCGCTTACCCCTCCACTTATCAGCCCTATAGGGCCCCGTCTGTGGTGGTCTATTGGCTCTTTAAGGAGCGCGCGCGGAACGCTCGGGTACTCCTAAATCTCCAAAAAGTCGGCAACGCACTCGTAACTGCTTTGATGTTGCGGGTGTCTATGGGGGGAGCTGATTGCTTACCATCAGGTAATTTGTCTGCTCGTTTACAGACATATCAAACAGTAAAATACAATAATATGTATTAACTTTGAGAATACAACTGTATCTTTTAAGCCTAGCGGGAAGCAACGCCCGAGTGTCGTCATTTTGAGGGCCACCTAGAGGACACGGTGGAGCATACGTTGGCGGAGTGCCCTGCTTGGGCTGATTACTGTCGTGTCCTCGGGGAAATGATCCCGACCCAGCTTTAGTCGAAGCCATGGTGCGGAGACTACGTGACTTGAAAAGAGACGGAACTCTGAGTTTAAAAGTCGTATAGTAAATAAATAAATAAATACCTTTTAAAAAAGTGTTGTGGTGTGTGTGTGCGCGCATGTGTGTGTGTGTGTGTGTGTGTGTGTGTGTGTGTGTGTGTGTGTGTGTGTGTGTGTGTGTGTGTGTGCGCACGATTGTGTGAAAACAGAAAGATGGGATTTCAGATGCATTCGAGTAAGGACCTCGGGATGTCATTTTATCTTACCTGTTTACTCATCTCATCGAGCATCTCAGCTAGATGGGGTTGTCGCAACTCGACAATGGTCTTAGTGTTGATGCGTGCGACATTGTTGACTTGTTGCCTCGTCGTCCAGATGAGGTCGGCGAGGAGCTCACACCATTCTTGTATGGTATTGAGGTTTGATTGCATGGGAACGCCGTTGCCACTGAGTTGCTGTTCACGTTTCCATCTAAGAGCAAAAGTTTCTATCATCATCATCATCATCATCATCATCATCAGCGTATAAGTGTCCGCTGCCTCTTCTCACACAAAGAAGGTCTCGAGAAGAGGCCTTCGCTCAACATTGACCACTTATAGGCTGATGATGTTTGAGTATAGACACGATGAAACGCAAATACAAATCCAAAAAAACATTGATATTATTTTTTATGTGATAGGTCGGCAAATGAGGAGACGGATTACCTGATGGTAGGCAATCAGTTCATTTATAAACTGATTTTGATAATTCTTTTTTTACTGGAAATGAGATAGTTTCAGAATGGTCCCATGATAAGCAAATCAGGATTTGATGATGGAAGACCAGAGAAATCGAGGGGAGCTTTCAAAAATTGTAGGGGAGAGTAGTGTTTTTTTTATACAAAAAATATTCTTCTAAGTCTTCCCATCTCCTGGCTACTTACTTGATCAGCTCCTCATCAAGAACCTGGCTCTGGAGCTGGCGGAGGTTGGCGATATTTTCCTTCATATGGTCGACCAGCTCCATCTGAGACTGGCTGATTTGTGCCACCTAGAAGAAAAGAGTTGGAGATTCGGATTAACTTGAATGATTTCGAAGTTGAAGCGGAGTCCGTGACAATTTTCGAGCAAGACTTATTAAAATGTTTTAGATATAAATTTGGGATCTATACTAATATTATAAAGCTGAAGTTTAACCATGGAGTTTCTTGCTCGTTCTTCTCCTTTGGAATCTACACTTTGGAACGAGCAAATGGCTTCACTAAGAGGACTGACCGACAGACTGACACATATATTATATCTTAAACATTTTGTTTCACGTTTAATAGTGCCTGTATGGATGGGTCTAATTTAGATTAGATCTTTTACTTTTATTTAGATTTTTTCTATTGAATAGTGTAGTCGGGGTTGGAGGAGGGGTATATAGCACAAATCACACGAATACTTACAAGAGCGTTGAGCTTCCTCTCCGTCTCTTCGATCTGGACGCGCAAGCAAGCCACAAGGTCACGACGTTCATTCGTCATGGATTGCTGAAGGTAGTTCATATGTCCTGGGGGATAAGGGTTATTTTATAATTTTTATGCGATATGACCAGCAAACGAAGCTGACGGATAACCTGATGGTAAGCAATGCGTTGCAAGCTTTTTAAGGATTAGGGTTTCGGATAGTTAATTTGCATAATCCCAAATCCCCATATGCGGGGGCTTGTTATCCCATATGCGGGGGCTTGTTATCCCATATGCGGGGGCTTGTTATTAGCAACTTGTTAAAACTACAGTTTGTTACTACCTATAAGATGTTATTAGTCTGTAAGCCTTCCTTGAAATAAATAAAAAAAAAAAAAAAATGTGCTTACCTATAATAGACTTAATAATAGATTGTTACACAAGCATTGTATCAATTAATATACTAATAAATTAATTAAGCAAAAATTTACAATTTATACAATAATAATTGTTGGTGGGCCAAAATATTAAAAGAAAACTTTTTAACTTGGGAAAATCATGAAATGAATCGCCCAGGGTAAGGGTAACAACTACGTGACAGTTGCCTGACGCTGGTTTTCGACTGAACCTTTTGGGTTAAGTAGGTATGGATGCCAGTCAGTTTCCTACTTGAGAATGTATGAATGTATATTTAAGAGAAATAAATGTATCAAATCACATTATAAATATATATGTATATTTAATTTAATCTTTATGTGTACATAGTGATAAACTATATACCCTATGGATCTCTGGTCTGAAATAATGTAATTTAATAAATTAATATAAATTAATAATATAGTACTGACCTTTATTCTTCAAGCACTCATGGTACTGGAGCGAGAAGGATTCAATATTCCCCTGCAAGCTGCGTATCTCTTCCCCAACCATGCTGACCTTCTGACGGACTGTTTGAAGACCAGTAATAAGCTGTGAACAAAACATAATTTTTATGTAATAGGTCGGCAAACGAGCAGACGGATTCATCATCATCAGCCTTTAAGTGATGCTGAGCAAAGGCCTCTTCTCATACGGAGAAGATTTGAGCATTGATCACTACGCTTGCTGATGTTTCCTCACGATGTTTACGGTCACCGTATATCAGTGGTGTCTAAATAATCATAGGAAGTACATATAACTCGGAAAAAGTCACGTTGGTACTTGCTAGGTTTCGAATCGACGGATTACCTGATGGTATGCAATCAGCACCGCCCATGGACATGGACACCCGCAACAGAGGAGTTAAGAGTGCGTTGCCGGCCTTTTAGGGATAAGGGTTTCAGATATTTAAGGATTGGTAAGGGATGGGGGGAGGGGAAGGATTGGGCATCCGGTAACCTCACTCACACGGCGAAACACAACGCTGTGGTTGTTTCACGCCGGTTTTCTGTGAGGCCGTGGCATCACTCCGGTCGAACTGACCCATTCGTGCCGAAGCATGGCTCTCTCACACTTTTTATTGTTTATTTGTGTACTTATTTATCGTAGTTGTGGTCCGGAGGTTAAGACGCCCGCTTCTCATGCATAATCCCAAACCTGGCTGGTACCAGTGAGACCTATTCAGTTATCTGGACTTTATAACAAAAAAACGTTGCCCCATACTAGGATTTTCTCCTGTGTCGTGGGTGCGTTTACAAACATACAATTTAACATACTTATAACACCCAGACCCGGAGCAACAATTTGTGGATCACACAAAGAGTTGTTCCGTGCGGGAATCAAGTTCGCGACACGTTGCGCGGCAGCCAGTTGCCCAGCCACCACACCAACCGTGCAGTCAATATTGTTTATTTATTTAGTACATCAATCATTGTGATCGGCGTGGTGGTCCAAAGGCAAAGGCAAAATCATTGAGGTTCTTGCTCGTTCTTCTCCATCGGAATCTACACCTTAGAACGAGCAAATAGCTTCACTAAGAGGACTGACCGACAGACTGACATAATTTTTTTAAGAATTTTGTTCGACGTACAAAAGTCCCTATAAGGGTCTAATTGGAATAAATGACTTTTGACTTTTTGAAATCTGGCAAGTACCAGCGTGACTTTTTCTGAGTTATATGTAAGTACTTTCTATGATTATTTAGACACCACTGACATACGGTGGAGGAAAACATCGTTAAGAAAACTGGGCTTATAATTATAAGTTCGAAATCAAAGACGACGCCACTACTCACTGGGTTGGGTTTCCCAAAACAAATATTCATAAATGATACGATCATATACAAAAATATACAAAATCCATATTATAGTTATACTTAGTCGGGTCATAAGTTCTGTCAAAACCTTATATTTTTAATTTTCGATTACTGGCCAGAAATTCTTCGACTTATTTTAAAAATAGAACTTTCGCGCTTGTAGAAAATAAAAAAGAAATTATTTTTTATTCATTTTTAAATATGGAGTGGTCGAATAAAGAAGACAGAATCGCGGTTATCGCGTTGCACCGCTGTGGTTACGCGCCAAAAGACATTTTCAATATTCTTCAAAATTTGAAAATAACGTTACGGTTTGTTTATCGTACTATCAAACGATACACCGAAGAGTCAAGCTTCGAAGATCGTAAGAGAAGCGGCCGACCTCGCACAGTTCGGACACATAAGGTCATCAAAGCAGTGAAGGCGCGAATCGAACGAAATCCCGTACGTAAACAAAAAATCCTAGCTCTGCAGATGGGGCTAAGCAGAACCACTGTTAAAAGAGTACTAAATGAAGACCTGGGACTACGAGCTTATCGTAAAAAGACAGGACATTTTTTGAACGAGCGTTTAAAAAAAATTAGGCTAGACAGATCCCGCGCTTTGCTACGACGGTACGCGGGAAAAAAATACCGCGAAATTCTTTTTTCGGATGAAAAAATTTTTACTATTGAAGAAAGTTTTAACAAACAAAATGATAAGGTGTATGCCCACAGCAGTGAAGAAGCAAGCGCGCGTATTGCGAGGGTCCAGCGTGGGCATTACCCTTCCTCATTCATGGTTTGGCTTGGAGTCTCATATTCAGGCGTAACTGAGGTGTTTTTCTGTGAAAAAGGTGTGAGAACTAGTGCCGAAGTTTATCAAAATACTGTCCTAACAAACATAGTGGAACCTCTTTCTCAGACAATGTTCAGGAACAGGCATTGGATATTCCAACAGGACTCTGCACCGGCTCATAAGGCACGAAGTACGCAAGACTGGTTGATCGCTCGTGGAATTGACTTCATCCGGCATGAAGACTGGCCCTCTTCTAGTCCAGATTTAAACCCACTGGACTACAAGATATGGCAATATTTGGAGGAAAAAGTCTGTGCTAAACCTCACCCGAATTTGGAGTCTCTCCGAGCATCTCTGGTTAAAGCAGCGGCAGACATAGATATGAATGTGGTGCGTGCAGCGATCGATGACTGGCCGCGTAGATTAAGGGCATGTGTTCAAAATGGGGGAGGGCATTTCGAATAATGTAAATAAAATTATATTGTACATTTAATGACCTTTCATTTCATATATAATTTTTAAATAATTGTCAAAAGGCGTATAAGTTATTACATCAAAAGTTTGTGACAGAACTTATGACCCGACTAAGTATATTTCACTGATAACTGATATCGTTTCTGATATAGATAAGAACCTCAGTCGTCTACACATCGTTTGTATAGTGATAATTTTAATATTAGTAACTGTATAAAGTCAGCTGCGTACAATTTATGCGATACCACCATTGGTCTTCAAGTGGGTGTGACATACCCAATCGGACAACGCAGTTATATGCCTTTTTTGAGTGGGAAAAATCATCAAATAACTTCTCCCGCCCAGAGTAGGTGAGAGAGAGTGTCAGACTCTTACTGACTAAAAACCCCCCGTTCCTTCTCCTGCTCTGGGCCGAGGCCGCGGTACCTCACTGCGATTACCCCGGCTGATAACCAGGACACTGTGGTTCAGTGATTGCTAAAGACATTATACAAAAAAACCTCTTACCTCACTATATTTCCTCTCCGTTTGAGGCTGGGCAACGTATGGAGTGCCCATGGCGTTTTGGATGACGTCCATCTCCAGGGCAAGCGAACGACGCATGTACGCGTACAGCTCATGCGGAGCGTGGCTGTTGACAATCAAACGTCAAGGTCAATATTAAAGTTGAAGATCAACGTCAAAGTCGAAGATCAAAGTCAAAGTCGAAGATCAAAGTCAAAGTCGAAGATCAAAGTCAATGTCGATGATCAAAGTCAAAGAGAAGATCAAAATGTAAATTGTCAAATGCAAGATTTTTAACTATACATATATTTTTAAAATTCATTACAATGACACATCTATATATATAAAAGAAAGTCGTGTTAGTTACACCACTTATAACTCAAGAACGGCTGAACCGATTTAGCTGAAAATTGGCAGGGAGGTAGTTTAGAGCTAGGAGAAGGACATAGGATAGGATAGAGTAGGTAGTGTAGGTTAGGTAGAGTAGGGTAGGTAGAGAAAGGTAGGTGGAGTAGGGTAGGTAGAGTAGGGTAGGTAGAGTATTTGACACATCATCAAGTGCCCACTGCTGAGCAAAGGCCTCTTCTCACACGGAAAAGGTTTGAGCGTTAATCACCGCCCTTGCTCAAGGCGGATTGGCGATATCAAACTTATAATAAGAAATTACAAGACCAGGTTTCCTCACGATGTTTTCCTTCACCGTATGTCAGTGGTGTCTAATTAATCATAGAAAGTACATATAACTCGGAAAAAGTCACATTGGTACTTGCCAGGTTTCAAACCCGCGTAAAAAATATTTAGACATATGTACCTTCACAACACAAACCTTCTAATTATAAGTTTGAAATCGTCAATCCGCCTTGAGCAAGCGTGGTAATTAAGGCTCAAACCTTCTCCGTGTGAGAAGAAGCCTTTGCTCAGCAGTGGGCATTTATAGGCTGATGATGATATTCATTGTTAGTTTTGGACTAGTAATGGTTAGGCCACATCAATCGAAGAACAGACAGCCGAGAAAGGGGGCTCAAGACGAGACCACAGATCGGAAGATGGAGCGTGGGCAGATTCGACAACATCGTCAGAATCGCGGCGAGCTAATGGATGCAAATGGCGACTTGACATTCGACTTAGAGGACTATGGAGAGGGCCTTTGTCCAGCAATGGATATCTTCCGGCTGATGATTCAGCGGTTTCATATCATTATCCCTCTTCTTCCTGTAACCTCATCACACGGCGAAACACAACGCTCTGGTTGTTTTTTTTTATGTTATAGGTCGGCAAACGAGTAGCCGGATAACCTGATGGTAAGCAATCAGCGCCGCCCATGGACACCCGCAACGGAGGAGTTACGAGTGCGTTTCCGACCTCCTAGAGATAAAGGTTTCGGATATTGAATAATAAGGAAGGCCCACTTACACGTCGAAACACAACGCTGTGTTAATTTCACGCCGGTTTTCTGTGAGGCCTTGGTATGCTCCGGTCGAGCCGACCAGGTTCGTGCCGAAGCTTGGCTTAGTAAAAAGAAGATTGATGGTGGAACAAACCTGTACTGCATGTGGAAATTCTTGGCAGCGTCCAGAAGCTTCATCTTGGTGACAAACATGTCCGGAGACAGCATCAGGTCAGCATGGGCTTGGATTTCCTGCACCAGCTCGTCCACGAAGAAACGTTGCTGGTCCTCTGGCTCCGCGGTCCTGGAGGAGAAGGTGGATACATTTAGTACATCGATTTTGTACACAAACAGTTAATAATTTTTATATAATTATACGTCTTTTCAATCAATTATATAGGTAGGGTTGCCAGTTCTCTAGGCCTCATAGCCGGACAGACCAGCCTGTTTAGCCGGACATTTTGCTAAAAAGGCCGGGCACGCTACATTCTTAAGGATTTTGTATCTCAGTATTAATAGGTACGACAAGATTTAATGTAAATCAAGCATTTATGATTATTGTCATAAATCTTGTTGAATTCTTATGAAATAATTAATAGACAAGTCTAAGTCTTTGCTTCGCTCCAGCCATGTTCGGTGTTTCGTTTCACTCGTTTACGATTGTGAAAAGTTTAGGTAAAAAGCCTAACAAAAGCCGGACAGGCCGGACACCGATTATTTTGGCCGGACTAGCGATCAAAAAGCCTACCTATGTCCGGCTTTATCCGGACGCCTGGCAACGCTATATAGGTATAAAAATTATTGCCAGTTTTTATTGTAACGATATAACTCAACAAAACCTTTACCGATTTGGCTAATTTTGGCAGTGGCAGTCCAAAGAAGGTTTGAACGGAGAGAAAATTTAAAAAAAACTTGATATTGTGTAATTTAGACTCACACGCGCGCGCCGCCGCGGTCAATCGCTAGTATGAACATAAATAACTTCTCCAGATTACTTCTCCTGCCGACCCATTCGTTCCGAAGCTTGGCTTTCCAACACTTATTATTAAATTATAACTGACATACAGTATCTACAGAGATTGCATGAAACTTGTAGAAAGTGTTGGACTATAAAAAAAAATTTTACAAAATAAAAAAACCGCCTTCAAAAAAAGTCAAGCAATAAAAGTTCCTACACTAAAAAGTAAAAAATAACAATTTGAATTACTGTTAAAAAAACTTAATTTATATGTAAACTTATTTGACATTAATATTTTGCAAATATTCAAAATTTATTACTTATTTTTGGAGTCGGTGCCAGCATTTTGATGTTGAAACTTAATGTTAGTTAGGTTTTTAATATCCGGTGCCATTTTTCGTACATAATGCTTAAACATTTTCAATGTACTTAAAATGTTTTTGTAAGTACATATTTTTTATTTAAAAAAATGTGCAAATCGGACATTTTTTGTAGAGAAGTCTAATCTGTATTTATGTCTTAATTAATATACCTATATTTGAGTATGCAAATAGGTATTAAGTAGTTTTATAATTAAGTAAGAGGTAGTTTTTCAAGGGATTGTTGCCCATTTGTATTTCCTTGCATGGGCTGGCACCGACTCCAAAAATAAGTAATAAATTTTGAATATTTGCAAAATATTAATGTCAAATAAGTTTACCTATAAATTAAGTTTTTTTAACAGTAATTCAAATTGTTATTTTTTACTTTTTAGTGTAGGAACTTTTATTGCTTGACTTTTTTTGAAGGCGGGTTTTTTATTTTGTAAAATTTTTTTTTATTTGTAGCCGTTTAGTGTTTTTTTTTTTTTATTATAATGTGTTATGGCAAAGAAGTCAATATCGTTCCTACATTTCTTTTGAAAAAGTTACCAATGTCATACTTATACGTAGAAATACATATCATAGTACATTGTTACTGTGTAATCGTTTTGATCTCGAGGAGAGATGATATGATGCATGAGATACTTATGACTTATAGTTAAAATAAAATAATAATCTTATCATAAATTCATATTAGTTCTCGCCAAATAACAAAAAACTAGATATTTTCATCAACAGACAGATAAAGTTCAAAGATACCAAATGCAATCTAATTTAGTATCTATGATTAAATACATTCGTACATAGAAAAAAGACCGATGCAATTATTGTTTTGTATCAATTGTAACCCATTAAATGAAGAATACTATTTTGTTATTACTAAGAACATTCATATATAGACAAGTTGGTAAAAATATAAAAGACCATCGCTATTGTAAATATACATTTATGACTCATTCAATGTATGAACCTTTTTTAAGTAAGTATTATCTACATATGTGCACACAAAAGAAACACAATTATTGTTTTGTACGACGCAATTATTGTTTTGTAACCCATTTAAAACGACTGTTTTGTTAAAAATGCCAATTAATTCTCTTAGCCTATTACCAGGAAAACGATAAGAACACAATGACGCATTTCACCACTAATGTGTAAACGCAGTCCACGTGGACTAATGCAAAATAGCCAATACTAGGCCAAACTCCGCCCCCAAAGGTGTGCGGTCCCGCTCTAGAACCTTTCGGCCCCATCGGCCATCTGTTCTACGAGCAATGTGCCGTGCCCACTGTCACTTAAGTTTGGCATTTCTTCGGGCTATGTCGGTGACGCTGGTTCTTCTGCGGATTTCTTCATTTCTGATTCGAACATGCACGGAAACTATGAGCATAGCCCTTTCCATTGCTCTTGACAGCTCTAATAAGCTTACACAATACTAGGCCCCATGCCAACCTTCCAGCTTCATCATCACATCAGTTCAATAGTACCTTACAGCCAAAGTGCATCTTATGACAATTCTAACAAGCCCAAACACGGCTAGGATATATTAATTAGGTACGCAGTTCCAGTGCCTACCTTCCAGCTCCATAATCATCATTAAATCAGTTCGATGATAACATTTCCAACATAATTATTTAAGATCATTGGTTTACAGTGCATTTTCATAGTTGCTGAACTACCTTGATTGTGATATCTATGCGAGTGTCAAGTTTCATCATCCATTTCTGATCTTCTTCACCAGTTCCACCTCATCAAACATTACTTTTTGACTGTAAATGCTTGAGTGCTCTATGAAAATATTAAAATTACTATATAGTTGCCTATAATATTTGAGGAGTTCCCTCGATTTCTCATGGATCCCATCATCAAAACTTGATTTTGAAAAGAATGGGACCAATCTGGAAGCATATCCTTTCAATCATAAAAAAAATTTTGCAAATCCGTCCATAAACGACGGAGTTCTGAGGTAACAAACATAAAAAAAAAAAATAAAAAAAAAAAAAAAAAAAAATACAATCGAATTGAGAACCTCCTCCTTTTTTTGAAGTCGGTTAAAAAGTACCTTACAATATCCCCAGACACCCCATAACTAACTTGTATCATACTCCAACAACAAGGACCAATATAGGAGTAAACTCGCCACTGGTCAGACTCAGCAGAGAGATGAACTCAGCCATTAAGTCATTACCTGATCTGGACATTCACAGTGTCTCGATTAATAACCTTAGGGCACAATTATGGGAATTCCATAGATCGCAACATCGTCAAAATGTCGTGTAAAATGCTATATTAAGTATTCTATTCTATTTAATTTTAGTTTTAGTTTTTATTCTACTTTTAATAGTTTTATATAAACTTATCTAGTTACTAAGTCATGATCTCACGGTATTCTCACAAAAATTTTAATATATGTTATTAGTAGTGGGTATTTTTGTAAATGTTGTGATTTTTTGTCATTTTTTGTTACTTTTTTTTTTTATTTTTATGTACAAATGTCTGTAACGTCTTTGATTCTGTTTGTGTTCGCGTTAATAATATTTGTTTCATTGTTTGCATAGCTTGGTACAGTTCTCTAATATTGGATACTTGTTACTCATTTTAGTTCTGCTGGTATGTACTTATCCTATCATTATTTTGGGAATGTTGGTTAACCTATAATTGGCAACTGTGTAAGTCCTAGTAATGTAAAAAAATGTACTTTAAGTGTTATCTACACAGAAGCTGTTGGTAAACCTTTTTATTAAATAAATAAATAAATAAATAGACATCGAATTCAAGATAACTTACCAAATCCTGCTTTCGATCCATGGTGCCAAACAGTGGCGTACTTCAATCGGGAAATGATCCCCGTAGATGGTACGGACCTGAGAACAAAATGACATTTCAATACTAATCTGGATTCAATTCAATTGTTGAGACGTTTTTCATGTACTAGGTCGGCAAACGAGCAGACGGATTACCTGATGGTAAGCAATCAGCGCCGCCCATGGACTATAGGAGTTACTATAAGTGCGTAGCCAACCTCTTGTGGGTTGTTAGGGACATAAGGATAGGGGATTAGGGGAACGATTGGGCCTCCGGTAACCTCACTCACACGGCGATACACAACGCTTTGGTTGTTTCACGCCGGTTTTCTGTGAGGCCGTGGTATCACTCCGGTCGAGCCGACCTATTCGTGTCGAAGCATGGCTCTCCTAAGTTATTTGAAAACTAGTAATATCAATTTAAGAAACATGAAATCTGAACGTTCTATTTTTTCTTGGAACCACCATGGGACAAAGGCGAAATTTTTTATTAGGTGACAAGCCCACCACACACCTTTCCATCACATCATCATCATTTCCACCACAACTGCATCTCTAGTGCTCCAAGATCCTCACAAAATCATCATAAAATAAAAACACACGGATGGATTCTTGAACAGTATATCTTACCTTTTGAAGGCTCTCGGGAGGAAGCTGCTGAGCTCTAGCCCAGAGAGACATCTTTAATCTGAAGCAAAAAGAGATAATCACTACATAGTATAAAACAAAGTCGCTTTCTCTGTCCCTATATCCCTATGTACGCTTAAATCTTTAAAACTACGCAACGGAATTTGATGCGGTTTTTTGACAGACAGAGTGATTGAAGAGGAAGGTTTATATGTATAATGACATCCATTAAAAAGTGGAGATTCACATTCCAAGAAAGTTGTTTTCTTTCTCTTTCCATTGTTTTTTTTAATTCAACTTTTTAAATTAGGTATTTTTTAATTTTAATTAAGGTTAGAAACGGCGCTTATGGTGTATTTCGCCATTTGAGTGAGATTACTGAAGGTCTCTTATCACCAAAATTTTAATCCTTAAATCAATATTAACTCCCTAACTCCAACTCTCTGGAGTTGAAAGGATCTTAAAGAATTTCCCAAAAGATCTTGGCTACTGCCCCCCCCCCCCCCCCCTCCAAATACTTGAAACCCAGCGGAAAGAGTGGGGGAACGGCGAAAAATGTATCATTGCCCCAAACCGATGACAACACAAAAAATTATCAATATCTATTTATAGGTACTTACTATTTTTTTTAAACTCTTCGCTGATAAGAAACCACACTGCTACGTCGTTATCTGTAAAAAAAACAAAATTTGAGACGTTAACTCTATCTAGTTCATATTTCTTATTTCGCTAAAACTTAGGTTAATGAAAAATGAAATCTTGTAGCGAAAACATTAAAAAGTAAGTTAAATTAAATTGGACCAACGTGTGATCCCTGAGGCACACCTGAGCATGAGCCAGTAATACCATAAGATTTTAACTCATACAGGAGTAAATCATAGGAAACGGAGTCAAAGGCCTTACTGAAATAAGAAAAGATTACGTGTACCTGTCTTCCAGCGTCAATAATATCTATCAGTCTCTGGGAAAGGCATAAGCTTCGTATGTGCTTATAAAGGCAACAAACCCGTGCTGATAGTAAGTCAGGTAAAGATTAAGAAGAATAAAAACATAAAGGATCAAATTGAAACCCTCAATCGACGAGAGATTTATGAAGACATTTATGAATGTCGATGAAGCGGATAATGTATGTTAGAATCGTGGCATTAGGCGTTCCATTGTCTCCGCCACACCAATGGAATACGGATGTGACGTCATTGATGTTTGTAGAAAAATCTTAATAATGAAATGGCGTTTGGAATTATGCACATCACCTGGGTGAGGCAGGGAGTAGGGTCAAACTCTTAGTGATTAAATCCTTCTCCTGCTCCGTGCCAGGGTCGGGACCAAGGTAAAGTTACTTCACATCATTAAATTAAATAGTCTGTTTGGAGTATTGTAATCACAGTGCAGTAATAGAAAATGCAGTGGAAGTGCCGCTCAGATATCGCGCGCGACCATCGTTATGGTTAGAAAAGCAACATTTTGGTCATTCGATGTCAGATTCGTTCGTTCCGTTGTCATGATTGGTCTCTTGTTGTCTCACTCAGCTTAACTAGAGGACAGACGGTCAGAGTGACACGTATAAAGTTAAACCTTTTGATATTTTGCTTGACGTTCAAAAGTGCTTGTTGTGGTCTACTTGAAATAAAGAATTTGATTTGAATTACCACGATTGAATGATTACCGCAAACTTTTATTGTTTTTTTTTTTTTGTGAGGGGAAAATCATCAAATGACTTCTCCCGCCCAGGGCCGGGCGGGAGGGAGTGTCAGACTCTTACTGACTAAAAACCCCCCTGTTCCTTCTCCTGCTCTGGGCCGAGGTCGCGGTGCCTCATTGCGCTTACCCCGCAACCCCGACTGAACATCAGCCCTTTAGGGCACCGTCTTTTTTTTTGTCAGGGGAAAATCATCCAATGACTTCTCCCGCCCAGGGTAAGGCGAGAGAGAGTGTCAGACTCTTACTGACTAAAAACCCCCCCGTTCCTTCTCCTGCTCTGGGCCGAGGTCGCGGTGCCTCATTGCGCTTACCCCGCAGCCCCGGCTAAACATCAGCCCTTTAGGGCCCCGACTGTGGTGGTCTATTGGCTCTTTGAGGCGCGCGTGGAACGCTACGCGCCGTACGCTCGGGTCCGGTTCTGGTCGGGCGGCGAGCTACCCTTACTCGCCGTCCGCAGACCCGCGCTTACGGTGGCCGCCGTCTGTGGTGGTCTATTGGCTCTTAGAGGCGCGCGCGGAACGCTACGCGCCGTACGCTCGGGCCTGGTTCTGGTCGGGCGGCGAGCTGCCCTTACTCGCCGACCGCAGGCCCAACCTTTATTGGTAGGTAGCTGATGTTTTAAGGACATCTTTGGCTACTTTCATCTTTTACTTTTATTTATCAATAATATAGTATTCCCGCATGATACGGATAATTCCAGACTACACGTTTGGCGAAGTGGCTGGGCAACTGGACTGGCTGTGCAACGTGTGCGGTTCGACTGCCGCACGAAACTACGCTGTGTGTGTGATGCACAAATTGTTGTTTCGGGTCTGGGTGTCTTGTGTATGTGACTTTGTATGTTTGTAAATGCACTCACGTTACAGGAGAAAATCCTAGTGTGAGGCAAAGGCAATGTATTTAAAAAAAAATTACGTAACTAAATCGCGGGTGCGATTATATGCAAGTTTTAATTGTGGGAGAGCCATACCACGATACCACGGCCTCACAGAAAACCGGCGTGAGACAACCGCAGCGTTGTTTCGCCGTGTAAGTGAGGTTACAAACGGCCCAATTATTCTCCTCCCCAATTCCTATAGCTCCCAAATCCCTTATCCCTAAAAGGTCTCTGTTATTGCGGGTATCCATAGGCGGCGCTGATTGCCCACCATCAGGTAATCCGCCTGCTCGTTTGCCGAACTATCGCGTAAAAAGAAAACGCATGATACATTATTCAATAGTTCAATGCGTACTCCTCTGCCTACATCCACCAACAGAATTATAACCCTCATAGGAACATTAATAAAACATTAACTAAAAATCGCGGGTTACTCACGTGTATAAATTGAGAAAAGCTATACTAGTTACTAACCACAGAGTAGGCTGCGCGACGTCGCCGCGTCCGCGCACGCTGCTCATGAGGAAGAATGCTCTGTGGTTCGAAACTAGTAGAGCTTTTCTCAATTTATACACGTGAGTAACCCGCGATTTTTAGTTAATTTAGTATGTCTCACGATAGTTATTATAAAAACATAAATAAAACATGTTTGCGTCAATAATGAATAATTCTAAATCATTTAATTAATACAATGCAATAAATGTCAAAGACTGAATATATTAATTAGCGATTCACTTGGTAATTTTTCTGTAGTTGTACTTAAGGCTTATTTTTCAATGGTTAGATAAAAGTTGCCTGACGAATAATTATGATGCTGTCGCGTCAAAATGTTTGTATAAGACAGTGATAGCAACAATTTTATTCCTATTAAATTATTATGAATAATAAAAAAACCGTTCAAGTGCTACTTGGACTTGCGCAGGAGTACTGCACCTAGCTTCACTGACGAACAGACTGACAAACTACTATTCTATTTTGACGTTAAAAAGTACCTATTTATGGTTTTGTTGGTGTAATGATTTTGATTTGATTTGATTTGAGTAGGAGAAGGAACGGGAGGGTTTTCAGTCAGTAAGAGTCTGACACACCCTTCCGCCAAACCTTGGGCGGGATAAGTCATTTGATGATATTCACCTCACAATTAAACCACCACAGACGGGGCCCTATAGGGCTGATGTTCAGCCAGGGTTGCTGGGGTAATCGCCATAAAAAGCGCATTTTTATCCCGCGGCCCCGGCCCGGAAAAGGAGAAAGATGGAATGATACACGAGACCTCACGCATAATGATATACTCTGTGGACCATAGACAAAAGTTATTGTTTTTTTTTCTTTTGTTATTAATTTTTTAAGTCATTTCATTTTTTTTATCTGTATCATTTACTTTAGATTTTTAGTATTATTTTATTTTCTTCTTTTTTTTTGTTGTTGTTGTTTGTTTTATGTGTGTGCGCTTGCGCGAAAATAAATGTTTTTCTTTCTTTCTGATTCTTAGTTAGAAGAGAAGAGAATGACAATCCTGAGTCATTTCATAATTTACCGTCCTTGGAAACATAATAATCTTCTTATATATAAAAATGGATCGCAAAATGTGTTGGTAAGCGCATAACTCAACAACGCCTGGACCAATTTTGCTAATTCTTTTTTGTGTTTTTTATTGTCAGGAGAAGGTTTCTATCTAAGAAAATATTAGAAAAGTAGAGGGGATGATTAGGAAAAGGTGACCCTTTGATAGCTAGATAGTTGGACCCGTGCGAAGCGGGGGCGGGCCGCTAGTATAATGTAAAACTTAATTAAGAAAGATCATTAAACAGAGGTAGGTGTGTTAATTACACTTCTGCTCTAGGGAATATAGATATGAGCCTAGTTCGTACATGTGCTGTTTAAAAAGAATTAAGTACCATTTAGTTTTTTTTTCTATTTTTAACACCATTTTTATTTGATATATCGGCAAACGAGCAGACGCATTACCTGATGGTAAGCAATCAGCGCCGCCCATGGACAACCGCAACAACAGAGGAGTTACGAGTGCGTTACCGACCTTTTGAATTCAGAGATTTGGGAGATTTAGGGATTTGGGGAGAGGTAAGATTGGGCATCCGGTAACCTCACTTACACGGCGAAACACAACGCTGTGGTGGTCTAACGTCAGTTTTCTGTAAGGCTGTGGTATCACTCCGGTCGAGCCGACCCATTCGTGCGTTCATCTCCCACACTTCTATATTTTGCCAATGCAACTGCGTGCTGTACGATCAGCCTATAAGTGCCCACTGCCAAAAGCCTCTTCTCACACGGAGAGGGACTGAGCATTGACCAGCAATTGAAATACATGATTTTGACTTTGGTTAAAAAGGAAGGTTTACATAAGTATAGAAATTATTTAAAAAGAATTGTACTTAACCTATTGTCATGGTAACATAGACCTGGGGTCCGAGTCTACTATTTTCAAAGTGTTGTCATCCACACGATTCCATTGTCATTTTGCTAAAAGTTCGTAATCTGTTAATTCAAAATGGCTGATCATTGGCGTTCGGCGATGTCGTAATAGAATTATAGTACGAGATGTCTTGTAACGAATTATAAACAATAACTGCACTTTAATATTCTAAACGTAAATCATTGAATAAAGGAACTGACATTTTTTTATTAATTTGCCGCATTATGTCAAATATTCATTTGTCATTATGTATGAGATTACCGTTCTAAAGAATTATTTCAATGAAGTGGCATTGGAAAGTCATAATGACGCTATCGTGTTAGTAGATTACCAAACTTGTCAAAATCAACAATTTTGAAACCAATGATCTACTATTCTGACACTATTGTAATAGCAGACTCGAGGCCCTGGTTCGTGATTTTGTGATAATCTTTCAGTTTTTTATAAAACATTTTGACGACCTTACCCATCTATTAATGGTAGTAAACCAACTAAGAATGCCCCGCATCTGGTCTCTATCCACGATATATCCAATTCGGCTAACATATGTAATCTTTAGACAGCTAATATAAACATTAAAATAAAAACAAGCTTATGTTTGTTTATCACACATAAACTCGAAAACAACTGAACAGATTTTAAGACTGTTTCGCTGACGC